CGACGCTCTTCCGATCTCCCCAAAACCCCAAAACCCCACCACAATATGGATAATTTTAAATGGTTAAGTAGATGAATAAAAACTAAATTAACTTGAAATTTTCTTAAATAATATAAGTGATAAATTCGTATTTAGTAAGTTGTTTTTTTGAAGACGGGTTTTTAAATCTATCATTTCACTGGTTCTTTATCGTAAATCAAGACCTTCTTGGGGACTTGATAAACTGATTTTCTTAGTGCGATCTTATGGAATGGCTTGGGCTAATTGAACCTGTTTCTGTATTCAGTTCTAACCATATCTGTGTGAAGATGCTTATCAGGAACCCAGGTAGTGCCATCAAAGAATGTCATAGCTGTGCAAAAACCACTAGCAGTAACTAGACCTTTTCCTCTGTTGGTATTTCTCATAGTGTTATCAAAGTCACCATCAGCAAGTGACATCCTCTGTTTGAAGTTTTACTTATCTCTGAATCTGGGGTTTACTCCGTAGGACTCTCTGAAAGTTGAGGACCAAGCTCTAGATCCACCTGGGACATCGTTATTAGGATGAGGAATAGGGATAGTCTACTTTCCATATTTGTGATGAATTGCTCTCATTGTGTCATCTTGTTTAGATGGAATCTTAGTAAAGTTAAAACTATTATTGCATGTTAAGATAGAAATAAATATACCTTGAAGTTCCTGGTATATATGGCCTTGCATCAAGTCTTTCTCTGGTGAAGCATCTTCTGCTCAGAGTGGTGAAAGTGCCAGCAAGTTCATTATCTGGGCCTTTACTTGGCACATACCCTTAATATCCTGGAATCACATGATTTTTATTTTCTACTGGTTGCTATATATGTATTTAGATTAATGTTGTTATCAATGAATAATTGGTGGTTCAGTCAACGATCATTTGATTATAGAAATCCCTGAAATGACAGTTGACGCATTCCTCAATGTCCTAATGCCTCGAATAGACTTACCTTGATACTCATATCATTATAGCTAGTTCTATACATATTGCTGGATGACCATTTTCCTAAATCTTCTGCATTCATTGAGCCCCTAGCACCGAAAGTGGCAGTAGTAGCTGGTCTATTCCAGTTGAATTTAGTTTTGCTATCTAAAAACATTTTTATTTCTAATTTATTATTTTATTTAAAGCTTTTCCCCTCTATGAATATTACTGAGAATACCACCTATCGGGGTTTTGGGGTTTTGGGGTTTTGGGG